TTAACTAATGTATCTTTAAATAAACTTGAACAAAAGTCTTTGCCCTTGTGCATTGCACACGTAACATTACACGTGGAAATAATCATCTGTTTGTCTCGGATCCCATTATAGTTGAAAGGTATGGGTTTGATGCCATGCGCATATGCGACAAGAGGTGAGGTTTTCTCAGGTTATCAGATTTCCTTCCTAAACTCTCATATAATTTGTCTCTCTGGATCAGATATTTTGCGAACGTTATTTAGTCATTTATGATGAAAATATTTACTTGAGATTGTTAAAACATTTTAAGAAACCAAGGAGAAAAATAAAAGGCTTTAAAAGGAGGATGAGTAATTCAAATTTCTATCCTTTTGATGTATATTTCCACAATAAAGGTTACGGTTAGAATGTGATACATCTACACTATCAATTTCATTTTGCTCCAAGGCGTCGGGTAGGGGAGACCGCCATTACAAAACTCTCACTGAGCTGCAATCTACATTTAAATTTATCTAAGATACAAGAAATGATATATTGGAAAGAGTTTATCTTAGTAATTGTCAAACACACAACGGAAACCGGAAAACCTGCAGGGAAATCTTTGTTGACACGCGAAGACTGTTTAATTTCTCACTTCCAGTTTACGTATGAAGTAGGAAAACTTATAATTTACGAAACCGTTGACATCTATCCGTCCGTAAACTATTATAGGCTAAATATTTAATTATATAAATTCAGATAAATTCATTCATAAGAATTCATAATGATTCATACTAGTTTTACGTACATCTCGAGACAAGGTTGAGTGTGGCCACAATAATCTAGCTTGTCTTCAATTCTATTTAGTTCTTGTGCATTTGAAACGATATTTTTAGCAGCTTTAATCCTTGTGAATAGAGGTTATACTCTGTTAGGTCTATTTTCATATCAATATCGGGAACCATATTATTAATGCGAGAAATTCACTGAAGTTACTGAATTCTAGATACTTGCACGGGTTAAAAGAAAATATCGACTCATCAATGCAAGGGTTTAATTGAGTAAGCTCCATTTACCCTCTTTTTTTTGAAGAAATATTTAGAGAATAAAGTTGATATAATACTCGCAGAACACATATATACAAACTACAAAGCCCAAAATTGGTAGCACCAGTTTGGTCTTTCGAATGCTTTCGTCGTTGTTAATAGCATTATGATGCCAGATAAAGCCTGGCTTGTATGATAATTTTGCTTCCCTTCTTGTGTGGCACGCCCGTCGGAACAAAATTCATATTTAAGCGGGGTGGGTGGGGGGGGGGGCTGTCAGCGCAGCCACTCAAAATTAGCACAGGTTGTTTCGAAACCTACATTTTATTGTATAGAACTTGCACCACCGCTAATTGAAATAGCTCTTCGGATCAACCTGATTCAAAACTTTCTTTTGACCTATATAATCGATTTTAGGTATTCAGTTATTAAAATAATTAAGAATATTAAACATTAGTAGACACTGGGTTCGTCTAACTTTATCAAATACACAAATTCCAGTCGCCCTATCTTGGATTTTGAAAAAAATAGATTCCATTTGGTGCATTCCGAGGTATGTTTTGGGCGAGTTACACGAGTTAAAAAATATAAATATTGAAAAAATTGTGTTAGAATATAAGTTTCAAACTTCTATCAAGGTACGAATCCCAAACAGTCACTAATGTATGAAAGATCTCATATTTCCTGACGAACTGTTGGCACTATTAACATGTACTTGTCTACGGACGGAGTTGAAGTCAAGTCAAGATTATCCACGGAGCCCTTTTGGTTTAAAAGGGTCCCTATCGATTGCAAAAGCCAGGGGCTAAATGTGGCTTTTGATTGTGGACCGAATAAGGGCTCAGTGAGAATGGCCTTGATATTTTAAAATTTAAATTAGAATGACACGGTCATCCAGTGGAACTTTTGATCTTGTACTCAAAGAAAATAAGGGGAGGGGTGGGATATCTGTCACGCTTTGTCTCCCGAAGAACCGGTACTGGCTACGGCGGGTTCATTTTAGTTCGAAATCTCCTCGTTCACACGACTGCCATGGGATTGAGAGAATTAAATTCCGGAACGGGCCATCAAGACCCCTTTATTGTCCCTGATTGTGACTAATGAAGTTTTCAGACTATAGCGACCAATACATTGTTTCTCTTTACCTTATCGTCCCAAAATGTTCACAACTGGCCAAGTCCAATTAATTTTGGGGGTTGGAGGGGGGGGGGCGCTAAATATTAATGTTGCTCTAACCTTATATTAGTATACTCATCTATACATGTCTCTACCTAGACAAAATAAAAAACAATACTAGAACTTAATAACCTATGTACTTAATGACATTTAATGTCATTATAAACAAAAATCAATATAAGTAAGTTATCAATTATACAATCAAAGTAATACATCAAGTTCATAATTCAAACATAACCAGAGTTCCACATTGTGATGAGTCTTGGCTGGACTCACCCGCTTGTATAAATCGTCGAATTTAGAATAACTTCTCAAACACCACCCTCCAGTTATTTCATTCTGCCGTGTACAACTTGATTGAGTCTAGTATACTTTTAGGCATCGTGATAGCCCCACCCAGCCCCACCCTCTCAATATTGCCGGAATTTCATCAGCACTCAATCACTCAGGAAGAATGCCCCACCCAAGTATCTTAACACTATCTTTAAAATATATCGGCGAAGAAAACTAAGGCGTTAACCCCATTTCATTTCATTTCATTGAATAAATCATATAGTAGAACATGACCACAACTCTATTGCCATTTTCTTTACTCGTATATTCACCATTAAAAGGGGTAATAAAGAGAATGTCAAGTATTCAAGAATATATCAGGAACGGGTGTTATCCCTTCTACCTATATTTATACGGTCTATTATATATATCATACTTATGTAAGGTATTGAAGTCAGTCGAGAATATTCAGTTTCACACGGTTAACCAGTGGACCATAGCATAACACATAAACATTACCAGTTAAAAATAAGCCACGTCTACAGACGATATACCAATATAGTAGTCTCGATACTCCAGACACTCAAGATGCCACCTACAGAAACCGCGGTTAATAAAGCAGTTTGGTGGTGATTTTATTGGATTGTTTTTATTTGTTGCCCAAACTATATTAACACGAATAAACAACTAGGTATATGTTTTAACACGGATAATGGGGCCGAAAATTGTCAAAACGTTATCCAATATCCAAACAGAGCCCTGAGCGATCTTAACACATTTCTTGTCCATTTCTGCTTCGTGCACCACTTGAAAGGGTGACCTTTTCGATTTGAATAATTTCTGGTTTAAAATGATTTTCTAAATAAAAGTACTTTTAATTGTGTATGTTCTTCGCCGCTATATTTAACCTTTGTTCTTGTATGTTGGGGCTTTAAGGTAAATAGCACATGAGTATAAAGATGTAGGAACATATCTCTGAACGGGTGCCAAAATCGCACCAGAATGTCAAAATGAACACAATAAGTTCGCTACATGAACTTGCCAATGACATGTCGTACCATGATGACACGCGTCACAATTTTCATAGCTATCTGGCCAAATCTGACTAGAATTTCGAACGTTAACTGTGTCTCTTTAACTTTAGAATGCAGTATAAGTTGAAATTACCCTTTTAGGGATAAAAAATTTCATAAGGGCTCTTCATATTTGTGAACTCTTAAAAAGATAATCACACAGGAAACATTTGCTCAACAAATTTCCAGTCCACTACAGGCTAACTTAGCGAGTATTTAAGAAAAGAAACCTCTCCTGTTTTCGGGTCTTTTAAAGTATTTTTTTCTAATTTAAAAAAAAAGAAGTCACAACCTTTAATTCTGCAAAGAGGGCGGCACTTCAAAAGTACAATGGTGTAGACTTCTATTGTTTTATTTACATAATGATTTCAATGTCGTTCGTGCCTTTATAAATAGAAAACACGGGGTATACTGTAAACATAATATTTATATACACCACGTTTTGATAGGTTTAAGATTCTAACCTACTGTTTTATTTCCTCCATCTAAATATATATAATTATTCAGAATTTTATAATAAAAATAACTTATTATATGGTATGTCAATCCTAAAATAGTAGGCGCATGTTACACATCGTGTTTATTTGTGAATTTGGCGGGGGGGGGGGGTGCTAACGCGTGCGCTTTAGATCTGAAAGCATGTCATCGAGTCAAGTGGCGTGGTTTCGATCCCAAGCCATAGTACGTATCAGGGAGAATAGTCTCCTGTCCAACCCAGTGGGTTTATCCGGGTCCTCCGGTTTCTTCCCACTGGTAAAGAACCCCTATGCATAGCCCAATTATTGAAATAAAATTGTACCATGTTAGTCTTGAAATGACCTAGCTTTTGTTGAGTGGACGTTAAACCCCATTTCTTTCTCTTTGCAAATGTGTCGTAGTAGAATATGGGGAGGTGGGGGGGGCAGTATGTGTCGTTGTAGAATTCCATACATACACTCACCATAGAATGTGAATGATCTACAACAATATTATGAGAGCTCGATGTTAAGTCGGCCTGGTTATTCGCGATAGACGAGTTTATCTCGCCGTCTGGCTTGATCAATACCGCAGTTCAAAGGTCTAACTAGTCTTGGTTGTCAAGATATGGTGTGTGTAGTGAACTCGACGTGTCTTGACAACTAAGTTGCGATCGATGTCGGTCACGGCTAGGTCAGCCGATATTCTATTCTTGTCCAGGTCTCGAGGAGTGTTACCCGCATTGCATTAAATCCAAATTATCGCTGTCTGCAACCATAATTTATGAGACTGCACAAACCCTTCTTGCCATCTTTTTTCTCCTCTTTATTTATTCTAGAAATCACTGACCCATATCTATAAAAACAAAGTATATGTAATGACGTCAATAGGTAAATTTCCTAATATGGTAGGGTAACCACATCACGTGATCCAACGACGACGAAAGATGATGTCATTTTTCTATTAATAGAAGTATGAGTCACCCATTACTCACTGCTTATATATCTTGTATGGAGGTATTCCCTCTCATTCAGAAGTAAATTGTGACTCATCAAGGAATCCTCTCCTGAACTACGGAAAACTCAGTCGGTACCGGCTTATAGATAAGACACACTAGAAACTATCAACAAGAGGACATTTTCCTGCGGATATTCAAACTTCACACAATAACAGGATGTACACAACACAAAGAGATCCAGCCAACTTCAGCGAGTCGAAATATGTGGCCGACATCTTATCGTCTATGGCAAATGGAGAACCAGTAACACCTAGCGTAAGTATTTAGTTAAATTATTATTAAATTGTGATTATTTTAAGAAATGTAGAAGATTGTATAATAGAGAAGAATACACGTAACGTTAGATCACTCACCACGATTTACGTGGTTCTGTACTATATGGTGGTAGCCTACTTATAGCCAAGCTCAAGCCTTGAGACATTCATTCATTAATTCATGCACACTACTAGCTCTGGCTCTATTTCCCGCCGTCTTCTAGTATACATTTTGTAGTATATTTATACACCGTTATATACCACTATTTATATACAAATGTTCTCTTCTTTGAAATACAATGGTCAAATTAAAAATTATGACTCAGGTTTTGATTCAATTTCTCTTTGTCTGCAATTTGCAAATAATTTATATCAGGGAAAATTGTTTGGATTATTCAAGAAATTAATAGTTTAACCAATTAAATTTAAAACTATACAGTTTTAACTGCTCGCGCCGGTTTTGAGACCCTGGGAAATATTCAGGAAGCCGATTTGTACCAATTATCCAGTGACATTTCTTCAGCTTTAATTTGCTGTTATATAATAATGTGACTTGATGATCGAGACAAACACACCCGAAAATAATTTTGATTGACAGATGAGGGGGTGTCGGTTTCCTTTGATGCTCTCTTGCCTATAATAAAGAGATTTTGAGAGATTCGCTTCACTTACTTCGGGACTCTCGAGTTATTTAAGTTACTAGGTATTATGGACTATCAACATCACCAATGGACGTATCCTTATTACCACCACCCTGTAAGTCTGAATTGTCAAATATTTCATGTCGCTGATTTATTTATTACCTCGCGGCTGTTCATTTTATCAGACTGACATTAAGAAAAATATATGAATTAGTACAATATTTTCGAAATTATCAATTTTTGTATCCAATTCAGATACTTAGAAAATTTCAATTCTACTAAGGATATTTTTTTTTTCTTTTGTCAAAACAAGTTTCTATAGAGAAATTAATGCGATCTATTATAATCGAAATGTGATATGATACAGATTCTGAAATTGTTTAAACATATATAATTATCTTTCTTTTGGTTAAAAGGTAGTTTTAATTATTTATTATACCTAATTTTATAGATGGCGAGTGCCCAATAAAATAAATGGGATTGAACAATATATTTTATCAGCAAATAAATATATAAAAAAATATTTAATCGATAAAACATTGACACAAACAAACATATTGTGGTGTACACCTTGTTTTCATACTGACGCTGCGTAGTTGTTTACGTGTTTACTTGTATAGAATCGGTCAATATCCTAGTTATTGCTGTACTACGTACTATTGCTAGATATCAGGGTTAACTCTAGGTGATACCTACATATGGCTGGTAGCCTGGTACAAAGTGCAACTTTTCATGTCTTCCTTTGGTGAAAAGGTACTTAAATCTCGTGGTAGCCAAAATGCGACAGTGATCTATTATGTAAAGTCCAAACTCATTGAAGTTTGAACTGATCGTGAAGCAATTATTGGACCCATGGTGATTGCTCTTTGTTTTGATAATGTGACTGATTCTTATACCAATTTGATAAGTTTTTTGTTTTTTCTCTATTTCAGTATCCAATGCCTGGGTTTTTAAGCGGTGTAACGACAGCAACCACACCAACCTTGACACCAACAACACTGGCCAACATTGAAAAAACATTTATTGAACTTCAAGCGGCCCCAGTCTCCACACACGACCCCAACGCTTTGACACAGAGTGGTTTCGTTCCTCCAGTCGTTGATCCCGTTACATCCAACGGTCATTCCCTAGACAGATATGACTACAGTGATGACCCTGATTGGATGCCGGGTGGAAAGAGAGCAAGAGGAAGCAGAGATGTTTTGGCCAGTGCCCCATACCCTACTACCACAACCCACACACCTGGTAGAAAAGGAGGACGAAGACCTAGAGAGGAAAAGGTAAGATTAGTTTTTGTTAATAAATATTTTTTAAATGTTGAATGATACGCGATAGGGGTTTATGTAGGGAAACATTTCATTATCCGCTTACTAAAAATTGGAGTTTCTAGAAGTTCCTTGAAATTATATACATAGATATTATGAGTACATAATTACGGATACGGTGGGGTTTTTTTTAATTAGGAAGCTAAGCTATATGTAAAAACAAAATAATAATAAAAAAACGGAACAGAAAAGGGAACATGAAATCGTAGTCGGTTCCAAATAGGTGCTATAAATAGATTTGTCACATGAATCTGTTGTGACGTTTATAAGCACTAATTTTACATTTCCAACATATTGATAGAATTACTAAAACATGTCATTAAACTCTGTCAGCTGATATAACACACAGCTGCTACACATACCACGTGCTCTCGTGACAATCTCGTGAGCTAGTTATTGTTTTTTTTGTACTGTTATTCTGAAAATATTGAGAAAAAATAAATTTATAATGAAAGTCTGGAAAATGGCCATAAGGCAACAATTGACAAAATGAGGAAGGAAATCTAGGACTTAAAAGCCCAATTAGACCCCCAAGCGCAATTGAGTTATAGAGCACTCTCGACGCAAAATATAATTTCATAATGCATTGTCATCCCGTCACAAGAAATTTTGTGAATTCAAGATAATGACCTTTAAAATTGTGTTATCCGTTGAGTAGACGAACAGGAAAAGCTGGTAAAAATCATAACTTTATTAGTGAGCACAGGCCAAATTTAAACCTAAACACTACACTAAATCAGTGCTACTTGAACTTAGTAATCCGATTATGAAATATTTTAAATTTCCTATTTTACCTTAAGGAATTATGTTGTTTTTTTTCCTAAAAATTATAATTGGTATTTTCTTATTTCACTTTGTTTAATTGTTAATTTATATTTCTATTTTAGTTAAATCCGGAGGAAGAACAAAGAAGGGCAGTGAGAAGAGAAAGAAATAAGTTAGCCGCTGCGAAATGCCGACAGAGGCGCGTTGACCACACAAATGTTCTAGTCAAGGTGAGTTTAGTTCCTTTGCTCTCTTTATATCAATAATATGTGTTGTAATCCCCTCCTCATTCTATGACTTATCATGACCATTTAGATTTTTGCCTTAATTTTATTTGTTTCAAATCGATTTAAATTTCTGAAACTATCTATATGAAGGGAACAGTATGTTGAATAAAATAAAACCAAGTAGGAACAATCCAAACCATTAGACAAAATTCGAAGTCCTAAAAATATATTCCGAACATTTAATCTCAGTATTGCCCTTTGGTGCTTTGGTTTTAAAGAATCTTATATTTTTATATTTTTAGGAGACAGAAAAACTCGAAAGTGAGAAATCCTCTCTTGAAGACGATATCCAAAAACTACAACAGCAAAAAGATCAGTTAGAGTTTATTTTGAAAGCCCATCAGCCATTGTGTAAAGTAGAATCCAGAACAACATACCAACACATCACACCGATATCCATTAAACAGGAACGAGGCTCCTCTCCATGCTCCGTCCAGTCATGTGACAGTAGCAGCAGCCAATCTTCACTCTCCTCCAGTCGCCCAAGTTCTCTGGTCATCCCAAAAAGCGAATCGAGAACCATGACAACATTAGCTGGAATTCCAATCAGTACGCCCTCTAGTGGCTTGTTCTCTTTCGTCGGATTAGATTCATTGGTGGACGCCAATGGTCTGTCCTTAAGATCAAGTCCTACCTGTGGTAGTCAGGTACACCGCACATCCAGTGACAGCAGTACCGATGCCGTTGGTTCTCCTACTTCCACTCTCATTTCCCTGTGAAGATGGCCGCCTTTGATTGCCTGAAAACAACAGCCACGAAATGAGGATGGCCATGATATGAACTTTTAAATGGTGTGACAGAAGGTTGAATTTTTTTGTTTCTAAAAAGCTTCTTTTTGTATTATTTCTGCCATTGGTTTAGTTCTTTGCCAGCTTTTTATTGGCCCTGAAGATGAGACGACGGAACGCGCGGAATAGTAGCCTGAAGGCCCCAGGTGTCCTCAGGAAACCAGATGAGTGACTTGGCCAGAGTCAGGAGAAAGAGGCGCCATTTTGAAAAAGGCCGGGAATGTGATGTGTTAAGAAGATGTGATAAAATGTTATGAGCATTTAAAAAGAGAGGGAACTCCCCCAAAACACTGACGTGATGTTAGTCAAAGCATAAAAAACTGCCGTTGCGTTAATATATAATCGCTTACGGTATCTTGAAATTTCTTGAAAGTGAATTATTGACATAGTAATATAATTACCCTAGAGATAATTTATAAAGGATAAGAGTGCTATAAAATGAACACTATAGAACTGAAAGTGCTATAATATTTATGTATGAAAACGTTAAAAGTGCTATTAGAATACATGGACGAGCCTAAACCTGCCTTAAACATGATTAAACAATGCAAGAAAGTGTTTTTTTTCTATATTTCTCCATAAATTCTATTTAGATAGTGTTGAAGTTACGAGAATGAAAAGAAAGTCATATTTTAATAATTAATTAACCAAGCAATTACATACTCTATATACACATTTACATGTTACTCTTTTTTATATATCTGCTGAGATACTAATCGCCATTATTTCACACTTTTATAAAATTTTCTAAACTTTTTAAAGTCTTATTTTGTTGTTTAAATGTTAGTGTAAAGGAGATCCATGTTGTTGAACTGTTGTTTTAGAAAAGAGAAACAAAGCTAAGCCAAACTAGGCATCTTGGATTGTAAAAATATAAAAAAAAAGAATGATAGATCTTTTAATACAGATCAAATTGGTTGTTCAAATCGGGAATTAGAATATACTTCGACAACTAATGATTTGTTGGGGTTTTTTTTATACCCTACTTTAACATTGCCAAAAGTGTTGCTTCTCTTTTCATTAATATTTAACCGATGTTTTAATGAATGTAGAATAAATGGAACTTAATTAACGTAGTTATAATATTGTGACATTAGTATAAAGTAATGCTTATGAAATACAAAATACTGTTTACAAATATAGTTTTTAACTTCAATAAGTTACTCAAAATGACAAGATAGAGTTGTTGGTTCTTGAAAGTTTTTTCTTGACAGAATAATGTGCCTCGCTGAAAGCCATAAATAAATACAAAATAATTCTCCAAATATACATTATGCAATTTATATACTTCTGATCTTTTGTAAATCACATATATTTCAACATAACTGTCTTTGTCTGACTTTTCTTGCTTTGATTTTTATATATAAGAATGTCATGTATTACTGTATTACTATTTGTAAATTGTGCACATGTTTTGGTGATGTAATATGTGGAGAGACGGGTGCGTGCAGGTCACGTGACATAATGGTGCTGCGCAATTAACAAAGTTTTTTTTTTAAAATACCTTTTTTTGTTTAGGGCTTTATGATACCACGTTTTCATACGATTTGTTGTAATAAAAATTCAAAAAGAAAAACACACAAAAAAATATATAAATAAATGCTTCAAGTATATTTTGTTTAGTTGTTTCTTCCATTGTTTTATTGTCGGACTACGAGGGAAATGGGGCTTAAATAATGAAGAAATTGCAACTCTGAATGCGTGAAACTGGCAACCGGGGGTCTTATTGTTTCTTAGAAGATAATTCTAAAATGGATGATAAAACTGTCATTTCCACACCTAGCCATGCACATCAAATGCGCACTGTCCTTTAATACTTCAGTCAGAAATCGGCAAACCAGGTTCTTAAATCTATGTGATAAACCCATGGCCAATTCACGGGATATTTAAAGATTTCGAATCCCTCGGCACAAATTAGGACTTGGTACAAATTAATTCAATAATTAGTTTACGCGTAAGGGTCTTTAGCAGTGGAAGGAAACCGGAAAAACGCACGAGGTAGACAGGTGATCATACTCCTTGTCACGTACCTGCTTGGGAAAAAACCACGCCATTTAACTCAATGGCAGATCTTGTGATCTAAAGTGCACGCGGTAGACCACCCGACCTCCGCCCCCTCCTCCACTTCAATATGAAGAATGGTTGTTAATGTCGTACGTTCAGTATCATTCATTATATCAAATTAAATTTATGGTACTGATATCCAATAAAGGTGTAACTTGATGGTGTCGCAAACTACCGGAACTCTCTCATAGGAAGGAAGGATGATAAAGATATGACGAACAACCCGCATTTCCTCTAATTACGTCATCATTCATTCAAGATACAACCCAGTTAACATTTAAATTGAGGCCGTTAACATAGAAATGGAAGGTGGAGTGACAGTTTGATGCATCTGCTACATGATTTTGTTGTTTGTTGACTTTTGTACAACGCCTACATGTAAATTACATAGAATTAGAAAAGAAATGTTAAGATTTAAATATGGAAATGCTTCATCTTGCCAGCATTTGTTACCATTTTAACAAAGAGGTCGCGCTGCCATTTATGTCGCAAAGTTTATATTTTCCCATAAATTAGCGCATTTAATTCTTAACCTTTTAATGAAAAATCTTCACATTATCATCCTACAGGTCAGAGCTTTTGAGATCCTCCGCCCCTAGAATTCCTGAGGTTCTTTTTCTATCGATATTAGGAGTCCATCATCAGCTATCCAAACCTTATTTTAGTCTTGCAGCAATTACGGATAGGATCATTACCCTTATTTAGGTTTTTTATTGTGACTTCTTGAGATTGTTTAACGTGTCTTAAGGATGAACACTTTCGAAATTCGTGTATTATTAACCCCGTTATTGAAACATTATAATCAAACTCAGAGTTTTGGAGATTTCATGCGATTCTCGAGTATTATTTAAAACTTTTTCAGTTCTCTCAGATGGATCCCGTCTTTCGCATACCTTTCGTTGTAGAAAGGCATGGGTATGAAAATTTCTGAAAACCACAACCTTGAAAGGTTACAAAACTGGCACAATTTTGCCTACAGATATGAAATATTCTGGACTGAAGGTAGGACTAACAAGTACTTGTCTAGACTTCCATGTGGTATAAGAGAATAAGACGACCCAAAGAAAGTTGGGATTTGATTATTCCCCTGACAAAACCATTTCTAACGTTGTGATGGTATCAAAATGACCAATGTACGCAGTCGCTTTAAACTTCAGTGTTGAGGTAAGAAATCCAAATTACAAAGTATATGTTCTGTACGTCACGAATACTAAGTATGTGTTGAGCAACCAACAATAAAAAGTTGTTATATTTACTTCATTGTTAAAGGGACACAACTTAATTTACAGATTTGTGAGTATTAAAGTCTCGTTTACTTTACCCTACTAATGACCCCTAGGCACAGGCGAATTATTGAAATAAAACGGTGCCATATTATGTTAGCCTCGTAAAAAACGGGCGTTGGACGCCCCCCCCCCCCTTCTCCCCCCCTCTCTCCACACACACACATAAAACCCATAATAATAAATGCCCCAGAAGGACAAACCTCTATTTGGTTTGTTTCACCATTCTGACTATCCTTTAAGATTTGTGGTACTGCAGTTGTATGCTGGTGCATTCAGCAATTAGCAGATACATGCACGTTATACGGCATATTCTGATAAACTTTACATTTGGTTAAAAATCGAACATATGGCTCGACAAAATATATACGTATCATTTATCGAGACTCTTTATGAAATTGGGCAGCTGTCTAATAATAATAATGAGGTTTATATTGCGTCTTCATGTTGTTCAAAACGCTTTTAGTAATGGCTCTACTGGTAAAACTGTCGAAACAAGTAAGTCTTTAGTGCGGATTTCAATTGATTAAAAGTCTGTTGATTCTTGATCTGCTGTGGAAGTTCATTCCATAATCTAGGACCAGCTGAATTGAAAGAACCTATACCCATATGACTTTAAGTTATATCTTGGAACAACTAGTGACTGTTTATTTTGAGAGCGAAGTGATCTAATAGGGTTGTAGTCATATTAGAGTTCAGATAAGTATTGAGGAGCTGCGTTATTGCGACATTTATACACTTATGTTAGTATTTTGTATTTGACTCGCACCTCAGTAGGTAACCAGTGTAACGAAGCTAGTACATTGTGGATGTGATTAAACTTATCTGTCCTTGTCACTATTCGGGCTGCAGTATTAAGAACTTTCTGGATTTTGGCTAGAAGTGTTTGTGGGATTCCAGAGAGTAAACTATTACAATAATCAATTCTGGATAAAATAAATGATCTCACAAGCAGTTACAAGCGTCAGCAGTGAGATAGTCTGATGTTGCATATACAGCGTAGATAGCATGTACGGCATACTATATCAACCTGAGTTTCCATTGTCAGAGAAGGATCAAATATGACCCCAAGGTTTCGAACATTTTTGGAGAAATTTATTTCTGAATTACCAATGGTGATCTTAAGATCAGGTAGTAACTTAAGTTGTTGTGATGAGCCCAGTCGTTCGGAAGGGTCGAAGAACCGAGGTCCCGTGTACACAATGCCATTGGCGTGCACGTAAAAGATCGCATGGCAGTTGGAATTCGATATAAGAGTATGCCGTAGCGCTGCTGTCCCGGCAAAACTTCCCTCATGGCACACTGTCTGGCGTATGCCCGTCCTCAATAACCCAGTAGTTTCAGGGCAGTACGACGTTAAACCCCATTTCACTTCTTTAGTTTTTTTATTATATAATTTTATACCCGTTTCTGTTTCGTAGGTATAATACAAATTAAAATATAAATATTAATATATCAATCAAGATTTTCTAGTTTAGGTTTAATTTTAGCACGATTTCGATGCTGAGAATTCCACAACACTCAAAACATGATTAAAGATGCATTATGTCAGATGTTTAAATGTTATATAAATTATTATTTAAACATTTATTAACATGACAAGCCCATAATCGATTACATGGGTCATCAGAGGGCTCCGATTTTAAGTAGATTAGAACACCGCTGCCATTTAAGAATTATCAAATACCATTGCTACGATAATAAACAATCTACGATACATTTTGTCAAAGATTCAAACACTCATAACTTCGCATAGAATAGAGTTATTGGACTGACATTTTCAAAATATTTATTTTTCATGATCGATTTCGGAACTATTTTTGAACTATCATCATAGCAAGAACAGCCAACTCTTTATCTAATTCTTACATAATGCATCTTTTAAGTAACACCCAAACAACGCCTCACTGTTACAATAGCAACCACGAATCATATTTTGAGTTAGTTCCCGGTAAAGTAATTTCTTCTAAAAAAGACCCCTCGAAAGAATGTCCAGGGTCATCAAAGCCCTTGTGGTTATCTAATTCATTTGTGTCTGCATCATCCAGTAATAATTCACATGAAAGATCCTTCATTTCTATTTCGACTTCTTGGCCTGGCCACAGCATATAGTAGTCAGCCTCAAAATCATAACCATATGGATTTACTGATGACGGGCTACTAAAGAAATTAATATGTTCTCTTTCAATAGTGCTACTTTCATTTGCAAAATTTAAAGTCGCGTCCCGTTTTTCGTTGACGTTTTCAGGGTCACACACTATGTCGGTCCCCATACATGAATTAGATGAGCTACATCGAAAGAAGTCAAGTTCTGAGAGTTCTTCGTGTAAAGAAATGGATTGTCCGTCATCTGTTCCATGCAAACACGAACTAGTATCACTTTGAAACTGGAAAAGAGATCCATCACCGGAAGTACATTCGGATTCCGAAATATTTTCATAATCGCTTAATCCTTCAACTTCATATATTTCACAAATATTTTTTTTATTTTGATTATTCTCATCGAGTTTGGATTTAGCACTATTTGGTTTGTTGTTGTTGGAAGCTTTTGAATTTTTAAAAATCCTGGATTTAATTGTGTTCCTTTCTTTTTGTACTAATTCGGCCGTCTTTTGTCTCACTCGATTTCTGAAAAATGATCGAAAGCTTTTAATATTGTTGCCGTCATTGTCAACTGAACAAGGCATTTGTGACGCAATTAATGTCTCAAGGTATGCTAGACTTTGTTCTTCTTGGCTAATGTCATCAACAAGGGGGTTGTCTCTACCTTTAACCTCTAAATTGGTCCTACATAGACTTTCTTTTCTGTCTCTCTCCCGTTTCGCTTTAGTGGATTTTTTGGGTCTATTGCGCTGTTCTGTTTCCAAACATTCTTTATCCATATCAAATGCACGATACAGATTTTGAACAACAGCATTGTTCGATTTGTTGAAATCAGAATCTTTGTCGGTTGTTGTTTTAGGAGTTGATGTAGTGAAATCAAAGAAAAAGGGGGCGCCACAACCTTCGGGTCTATTGTCTTCGAACACTTTATCAATCTTTGAGTCAGAACATTCGGCTGTCTCCGGCATCATCGATTCAGGACATCTTTTGACTATGCTTTGAACGTCCCCTTCAAGATCGTCCATATTATTATTATCGATACGTGATTTTGTGTTAGATTCATCGTTGGCAGTAGATGTATCACAGATTTCATCCATTGACTTTTTATCCAATGAGCAATGTGCCACAGCTACTGCCCTTCGTAATGCTGATGTCACAAGTGGATCTAATTCTCGCTGTATTTGAAGATACAATAACAAACTATCAACAGAATAAGTGTCGCCGCTACCAGAATCGAAATCACCCACGAATTTAGATTTGGACTTCGAAATATCCTTTCCTTCACAACATCCAAAGCCAATGTCATGAGTATAAGACACACCGCTACTTTCATTTTCAAGACACGATTGACAATTTTCATTTTGGGTATTTTGATCTCCAAGCGCCCCATTGTCTTCAGTTTCACCATCACTTTCAGGATTGTCAACTGAGAATTCCTGGTTAAAGTCCTTTAACTTAGTTGTTAAATTGTTCGTGTCTACGTTATCCTGATTTACATAGATTGTCAAGTCTTTTTCGTGAAGCACATCCAGTATTAAATTTAAACTCATAATTTCCGAATCTGAAAATCCAAGATTTGTAACCGTGTTCTGGTAGGCTCTCTTGACATTTTCGTCTTCAAGTTTTGCCCACAATTCAGTCGTAGAAGACAGATGAATTCCCTTCCGGTGTAATTTCCTGAGTAAAACGAAGAAAAACAACGAAACATGATCAAACATGGCTTTAGAACGACCATCTTGTCGCATCAAGATTTCGATCACATCGAAAGACGTCTTTTCACGGCTGTATTCCACCTCGCATTTACGTGCTTTTGCTTCTAGTTCCTCCGCACGTCCCAACAAATCGTCGTACACAATGGTCAGAGCAGTGGTCCGCTTTTCTAACTCCGCAAGTTTAGCATCTACATCTTCCATTGGGGTGTCTTCTCTGGCACTATCTCCAACTAAATACAATGATCCAGGTTGCATAAACTCTTTTCCGTGGGTCATAAACTTGTTTTGAAGCTTCTGACGTCGATATCGCGATGACGTAAGGGTCTCAAACCGACAGACGTCATGATGTTTTGTTGTGGCGGTTGGACGGGTGCCTGGCGATTCCTTACTCTTCAGCACACACATGATTATAAATTTATTCCGAATGCATTTGACTGTATTAAATCTTTTAAAGTGAATATCAATTAATGGCTGAATATCTGCTTTCCAATTTAAAATCGACGATCCGTTCCATTCAATACATCACACAATTAAAATTGGTTCATTTCGTTTCAGATTAATTCAGTTATTCAGTCTTGTATCTGATCATTCAGCTGTCGTCTGCTATCTTTCGTTTGAAATCTGTGGATAAATAAGCCTCGTTAATGTTGTAAATAATTAGAAATACATGAAGGTCTATTAATAATATACAAAACATTACCTGTGTTGACCGCGAGTTGACCTTGTCAGAGCACTGTCCCTATCGCCGGCATGCAAATTTACAAACATAAGAAACTCAACCACGAAATTCTTACTTAACAAATGTTTCATGCAGCACAGACTTGATATCATACTTAAAGTGGTTTTAAATGTTGTTTATATTTTTAAAAAAAAAAAATAGTTATCATTTAAGTTATATATTGCTGCTAAGAGATCGATAGTAGCCAGATGCAAATTCTTGGGGTAAAAAATAAGTAAAATACCATTAGATCAGCCTTCATATGGACTTTTTCAAAAGATGGACATGATTCCCTTATCAAATAATAAACCGAATCCGTATTTTCACGATACTAGTAATACCACTTTAAATCGTTTCTTTAAAGCACGTGATTTGGTTATTTAACATGTTATTTATGACAGAAAAATTGAAACAGTTATATAAAATTAAAACCTTGAAACAATTTATCTTTTTCACGACAATTAGGTCGAAGTAGAAATTCACATAGAAAAACTTGGATGCATATTCTGTGTTTTTTCCCAGTTCAGTAATTCTGCCCAGGAACATGGTGGCAGTTGATTACCAATCATGAAGTGTTGAGAACTTCATGAGAACGAGACTAATTTCGGGGTTTTTTTGGGTTTTTTTTGTTTATTTGTTCTTTTTATAAATGTTTTTTTTTTAGTGGGATTTTTTTCATAAATTTACCCAGAAAGCACAGTGTATAGCTTAGCTTCCAAATAATCAAGTTTTACACGAGATTTTAGCACAGATAATGGTGGCGATGGGTTTATATTTGCTGGAAGTGAATTCCATATAATTTATATAATCGATCTAAAAGTCTTAGATTTTAGCTTATTTTCGGGTACAGATAACACATTTTTGCCTGAAAATCTTACGGGACAATTTGGGAACAAGCTCTTTCCAGTGATATAAGATTGATGTTCCTGGACGAGTAACAATGTCTATCATATCTCGTGCATGACATCCAACACCATTTATAGCTACGAAGCCAACAACAGTGGTGAGTGAGCAGAAATCAGGGGTGGGTAATAATATGAACTATGACAGAAAGTTCCTAGATTCATACGAAATATTACGAATCTGTCCTGACTTCTAGTACATGCACTAATGTACCACAACATCCCAGGCAAGCTAGAAGTGGTATAAAATGTTCATATTCTATATCGTAAATACATGCTACACCACAGCATGCACTCGCCGTTCCCATTCATTGGAACGCTTTAAGCAACAAGTTCTAAAGTATATTAAAGATACATTATGTAAGATTTAGATAAAGAGCTGACCATTCTTGCTATAATAGCTCAAAAATAGACAATGTAAAATGAACATTTTGAAAATTTCATTCAAATTACTTCATTCTGAGTCAAGTTATCACTGTTCGTAGTTTTGACCAGATGTGTGCATTGTGGTATCTAGGGCACTGGTATATTCGAGACATAGCCTCGCTTTCACACTTTTAAATTAAATTTTGAATGGTGAACCGTTTTAATCTAGTTAAAATCTCGAGTATCCGATGCCATCGAGAGTTGATTATGGTCTTGTTTTGTTAATAAATGTCTAATTAATAATTTAGATAACATTTTAGGCCTAAAGAAAAACCTGCAATAGGCAGATTTAGCTCTTGCATAATGAATGTTTAAGCATACCTCTCAGAAAGCGCTATCTTGGATTAGGGTTTGGTTTAAAAATCGCCAGAGGCAATTGTCATTAAAAGAGACGTGTCCAAAATAATGCCCATAAGATAATCTTATTTCTAACAACGACAAATAGTAATATAAAGTAGATAATAAACAATTTTCACTTGTCAAACCACCTGCAGGGGCGATATGGTCCAGTTCCATACAAATATAGGTTTTTATTATTGGACCTACAGTTCTCTTTCTACTGTATTTATCGAATCCATTCGGGCATTCACATCCTGATGTAGTTTTAACATCAACAATGTTGTTTTGCACTAAAGGATCAGTGAGTTTTTTAAATGCCGTGTTTATATGAATAGAGAACCGTAAAAATACGGTAATGCTAAAAATCACTAGCAATCTACTCCATAAATAAAGCTTTGTTAACTTATTTGCCCGAAACGTCGAATTAACACTCATAATTACACCTACCTGGCCCGCTATCTGCTTTTCATACTGACCATCGAAGAATAGTGTCGTCAGTGCTTGACGTGACGATTTACAATAATAGTTTATAGTATAGTTTGATGTCAGGTGTTTATAGCCAACAGAAGGAGGGGAATAAAACCTCTACCTTTTTTTCTACCTTATATTTGAAATATCTCACCAATATTCACGTTTTTACACTATGTCCATCATTTCCTCCCATATCCACTATCGACCCCCTGGCGGTTTAACTATAAGCGTTAAATATCGGTCCTTTGAAATATGAAATGACCCTAACCTATCTTAAATAAAATGAACCGTTTAGTGGCGAATACAACAACAGCAATCAAGATAAAAGGCCATAAACAAAAACAAAAAACTTTAATGACAACGACAGTCCACAAACGAAAGTTTATGATATTCCAGAGAAATTTGCACACTACGACGTTTTAAACGTATAATATCTAGTGGGAATATCAGTCCAAATCAAAAAAGCTTCAATTCCGTTCAGTATTTACACAGATATGGTGAATTAAAATTCCATCGATCTAAGCCGCTCCTAAAATAAACACACCCGCATACATCTTGGTTTTGCCAAATCTAGATGATGGGCTTGTTTTTAATCCGACTGAAAATCGAACCTGGGAGATTGTCTAGCGTTGATATTTTGATTTTATTTTCTTAATGAACTGTTAATCAATCAATCTGAATAGCGTGCGAAATTTGATACTTTCCAAAAAATGCAAATCACACACCTGTTCATTTCTCAAAACAAAGCGGTTTGAATTACTGTTCTGACAATTGAAGAGAATCCGCCCAGCAAGTCCACCATATATCATGGAACAAGTATTCTAGTTCTATACGATCGTATTAAAATTAATGAAGTCATTCGTCGAAAGATAACCACCCTCCTGGCCATTATTACAAATTAAATAACATATAATAATTGTATCGTTTATCTTCATCTGTTGGTTTCTTGTCAATGTCTTACATAGATAATACACAATAGCGTTATAATAGTGTCATAATGTCAAGTCCATAGAAATATTTTCACATGTCGGGGTTCTTAATTTATTACAACTTGCACTGTACAGATTAAATTTTACTGTAGGGTTACCTCATTATCCTACATTACCTCTATTACATGTATCTTAAAGCGAGAATTTCATATTTTCTAAGAAAGTCAAAACATAATTATTTCTATGTCTTTTGCTCAATAGGTTGTCAACTCACTATTATACGATCATAGCTATCATTATTACACTTATAAAATCATTCACACCGGAAATAATAATACAATTACCTCCCTTGTTTTTCTATTTTCCCCATGGAATAGCTATCTTCAAATGTTTGAATTTGAAGGTGAAAATGATATTTTTGCCAATTTCTCAACTGGCAATAGTGAATTATAGGATTAATAGGATTATTCTTTAACAAGGTAGGACTGTTTATAGATACCATTTATTTTAAGGCTTTATTTTAATAAATTTTAAAAATATAACTTAAAAATATGAAATTCTCGCTTTAATCGTACGATTGCACATTGGTCATGCTACAACTGATCGAATGCCCAGCCCTTACTTTATTTTTTAAAAATTAGAAAGTAGTATTGTCTTTATGATCAGATTCCATTTTAAAAATACAAAATGAATTAGTTAACAATGTTAACGGATCAGTCGAGGAATGTTATTGGGTGTTCTAAAATACTGAATCTTACAATTATGAAACACTATCGGTTGATCCGGCGTAGCACGGGTATAGCAATAAACCGCACGTAGCAAGAGTAGACCGTATCGCCGCTGTCCGGACAGACAGACAAACAAACGACAGTCATAAATATTAGTATAAATAGATAATACAAATAAGAAATTTTTAATCGTGACGTGTAGGAATTGCACAATCGACCCATTTACTAAGACAAAATGATTTCAGAAATTTTACCACTTAACAAAAAATACATTATCATCATTACTATAATGTTGCACGTAAAATGAAGACTAATAATCCATAACTTACATTAATCATAACTTCTTAGAAATACAACTAACTTGACAATCTCTGTAACTTACAAATCTCTAGTCTCGAGGTTCTGTAAGTGGTTTGACCCCATGGCCGAATATTAAAGGGACGCGGAGATTAATAAAATGTAAGTCATACATTGGTAATGTGTAAGATGAAATTAACCTGAATCTATATTAGGAAATCCGATAATAAATGTTCAAGTATTACAGAATTTAATATATAGATTGGCGTTTTTGAGAATATAAACACAGTGAAATAAACAAACGGTTAGTATGAGGGTATCAAAGGACGATATACATGTAGTAGTATCCCTTTCATCTTCATGTTATAAAACCAGTGTCATTTAATTCTCACGTTTGAGAGAGTCCGTAAAAGGTGACAATGATAGCATATTTATTTCTACAATCTCCAATAAAGAGAGGTGTGCTATTGTTAGAATTGTCTGTTCTTGGTCTTGTGATGGGGTCTTGTAAGCTTGTAATTATCCGTCTCGGGATGTCAATGGTTGTACCCTATTGAAATGAAAGGGACACCTGTAGATTACCCTGCTTATCCTAATCCATGAACACTACCAATACTTAACTGACTTAACTCACCGTTATTAATTTCCTGAATAACCAAACAATTCAACTTTGGATCTGTTCTCGATTCTTTATTTTCCTTTTATATTATTTTTAACGCCATAACCATATAGACAGAATGTGATTATTTTATCAACCGAAAACTGTTATCAGAAATTATCTGCGATAAAAAAAAACCCGTGCAAGTTTGTG